TGTTGTGAAAATAAATTAATTTTCGCTTATGAAGTGGTTGGTTACCATTGTGATAATGCATGTATAAGTCTAGTAAAATAATCAAACCAGCCATCTTTTAAGGTGTATGAGTCAGATAGCATCTTCCAGTGGAAAACAATCTATTTTAAGTGTTGTTCCAGAGTACATTCAGCCAGGCAGCTTTAATTGTCATGGGTGAGGCAGAAAGAAGAGCACACTACTGAGAATATATTTATTTAATTTGTTTAGTTGCATTACTGGAATGCTTGGATACCCCGGATATAGACCAAGACCTCACTGTGCTAGCTGCTGCACCAACACAAAAAAAAGGCAGTTTCTGTCCTGAGGTGCTAACAGGCTAACTACACAATCGAAGCTAACAGGTGATTCCAGACAGATATGGAGTATAAAGAAACAGTGAGACAAAACTGAACAGCATAAGCAGAGGTCTTGGCAGAGCAGCAGCCCAATTGAATTTGAGAGGGTTTTGCAGATGCTTCCAGGAAGTAGCTTTTATGCTTTTGGGGTAGCATAAGAGAGATAACAAAGGTGCTTGTTTGAAAATTGCAACAAATGAGACATGAAGGATGGCATCATTAGCACAGTGGAGGCAGGTGATCTCTTTACAGTGTCTCAAAGAAGATTGGTAAGGGTTAATTAACCAGTTAATTTAATGGCTGCCCTTTCCATTCATCCTTTCTGGCCTGGGCCACCCAAGGGGGTGAGTTTTGACCTTCTAACTTTGGAAACCCAATGTTTTTAATTTCATGATGAATTTCAGTCATGGGTCAGTTCTTAACAATTGTTGGCTAAGCTATGCATACTTACAAAGGGAGATTTATAATATAAATGCTGGGAAGTGGAGAATAGAAATTATGCAAGACATATACAAAATACATATGTAATAATGACATCTATGTCCTATTATTGTTTCCTGTGCTTATATCTTGAAATTTGTCTCAAATTGAGCACTGAGCCTGGGAGCATTTAGACAGGAGGATAACATCACACATGTGAGAAGTCCCATTAAACCCCCTTAACCCACTAAAAATTATGTGGCACAGAAGGGCAAATGCAGACTTCCTGCACTGCTTCTGGAATTGGCCAGCATGTCCCTGTGCCAGGAATTGTGGGGAAGGGTAGCAAAGGGGCTCTGTGCACTGTCCTCACCCTACACACTGATTCTGCAGCTCTCATTGGCCAGGAATCATGACCAATGAAAGTTGTGTGGGCAGTGTGTAGAGCCACATGTCCCCCACACACCCTTGTGGTGCAAGGGCAGGCAGCTTGCATTAGCTCCTCTGCACCACTGACTGGAAACCGCCTGAGGTAAGCATCACATGTGACAAGCCCACACTTCAGCCTCCTGTCCCAGCTCTGAGTCCCCTCCTGAATCCAAAACCTCTTTCAGAGCCTTTTGCCCCATCCTGCATCCTTACCCCGGCTCTAGGCTTAGCCCAGAGCCCCTTACCACACTCCAAACCCTTCTGCCACAGCCCAGATGTTGTACCTCAACCCCTTGCCCCCATCCCAGTGAATGTGGGAGAAGGTGAGGGTTAGCAAATGAAAGAGGGAAGGAGGATGGAGTGACTGGTGGAAGACCCTCTTCAAAGGGGCTGAAAGCAGCATGGTCTTAGGAAAGCAGCAGGACTGTCATGAGGCAAGGTGTTTTGTTTTGTGTGATTAGACAGTTGGCAACCTTACAGCGTATCATAAATTTATATTGCTAAAATGTTATTCTCTAGCTCCAGAGAAGAAAGATCTGAGTTCTATTCTGGCTGCTGCTATGCATGGCCATTGATTTGTAAATTTATTACTTCCATGGGGTGACGGAATTGACAAACTACATGATTCAGAAAGTAGAATTAAAAAAAAAAAAAACCAAACACTAGACCTTATTAATGACAAACGAGTCAGAGGTGAATTATCTGAAAATATAGAGAAAAGGCAACAATATTAACTTCAGGATTAAAAGATATTACACAAGCAGGAGAACCATCTGAACTGCCTAAATATATGCAGACTGGGAAGAAATAAGATACACTAAGATTTTCTTAAATTTCAGTTACATTCTCTATTAAATGACTAGTGCCAATACAGGTTGCACCTCTCTGGTCTGCATCCTCGGGGCCAGACCGGTCCCAGACAAGGGAGTTTGCCAGACCAGGGGAGTTCTGCAAGGGGTGGGAAAGCGCTGCCCCACAACTATCTGACCCCAACTGTGGGCTCTGCTCCCCTCTCCCACTGTGGACTTCAAGCAACCCCACTTGTTTCCCAGCCCCACTGGCTGCATAGAGTGTCTCTTTTATTATTTAAATTTACTCTGACTCTTGGGAAGTCAACATAGTAGGGGCTTGCAAAAAAAAGTGAAAAAATCAGTGGGCATAGTACTTGGAGATGTATTCCACACGTTGTCATGTACAACTTCGCTCATAATATGATGGGGAATTACTGTATTCAGAGAGTGGAATCTTAATTGCACCTGCAGCTTAAAGTATCATTACAAAAGCCAGTTCTGGTGACACGTGTGAGTAAGGAGCCTTGGCGGTCGATATCCCACAGTCCACAGAATTCTCAGCAGCAGATCAAGCTTTCACTGCTGCACTAATGTGCCTCACCTGGAAGAACTGCTTCTGTGAATGAAAGGTCACTTCAGTTACCCATGAGTCAAAGGGTCTCTCTGTTGAGACTGTTGCACAATATAACAGTGGCAGGAGCAGCCCTAGATGAGCTGCCAGCAACTGGCGCCCTAGGTGAAACACGCGATCGGCGCCCCTGCCTTCAAAGCCCTCAGCGGCCGTTTATCTTGGTGCCCTAGGCAACCGCCTAGTTCGCCTGTATTGACGGGCCGCCACTGAGCAGTGGTGCTCACAGCTCTTGTGTGTTGGAAAACCCCTGTCCTCCAGGAGCTGGCCTGAGACCAGCAATTCATATGAGCAGCCTTCAGATTGTAATATGTGTCTATTGACGCGGTTGGAATTTGAACTGATATACTGTAGTAGAAAAGGTCTATATCACATTTTCCTCTGCTTTTGAGATACCCCGTCAACATTCTGTAGCTCATGGGTGGTCAATTTTTTAGTCAAAATCCAAATGTCTCGGTCAAGTTTAGGGATGTAAGCGACTATCAACTATCTCATAAGCATAAGCTTATCGGATAGTCGAGTAGTGATGCAACTAGTCCTCCCCCTCCTTCCTGCCCCCCCCCTCCCCATTGCTGCCTCCATCAGAGATCCATCAGAGAGAGGCAGCAAGAACGGGGGAGCAGGAGCCAGTGCTGGGGAGAGCCAGCTTAAAAGCCAGTTCTCCCCAGCAACATCTCCACGGAGGGGAAGAGGGTAGAGGCACGGTGGGAAATGGCGCAAGCGGGGACTGAAGCAGTCTCTGCACGTTCCACTTCTGCTGTGATTCTGCCTTTGAAATGTACAAGAGCCCCAGCGGCCCCGCGCTCACTGTGGGGGGGAGCAGGAGCCAGTGCTGGGGAGAGCCAGCTTAAAAGCCAGTTCTCCCCAGCAACATCTCCACGGAGGGGAAGAGGGTAGAGGCACGGTGGGAAATGGCGCAAGCGGGGACTGAAGCAGTCTCTGCACGTTCCACTTCTGCTGTGATTCTGCCTTTGAAATGTACAAGAGCCCCAGCGGCCCCGCGCTCACTGTGGGGCTTCTGCTTTTGAACTGTAGCAAGAGCCTGGCAGAGCTCTTGCTACAGTTCAAAGGCAGAGGTGCCCTTATAGACTAAACAAATAGTTGATGGAAATCCCGTTGACTATTCGATTAGTTAATTAATCTAAATTTAATATCCCTACTCAAGGTATAGCCAATGTCCAGACTCTAGAGAAAATAAACAAACAATAATGTAAATAAAATATTTTGGAGTCTGTCCAAAAGCATCTGGTGATCTGGATTTGGCCTGCCATCCATCTGTTGACTACTCCTGCTCTAGATAATTTTTTTTTCTGCTTGAAAATCTTTGGTGGTCCTCTTTCTCTCTAAGGATATGTTTATACTAGCCCCCTAGTTCGAGCTAGGGAGGCAAATGTAGGCATTCAAAGTTGCAAATGAAGCCCGGGATTTAAATATCCCAGGCTTCATTTGCATCTTCCCGGGTGCCGCCATTTTTAAATCCCCCTTAGTCCGAACTCCATGCCCGCGGCTACACGCGGCACAGAGTAGGTAGTTTGAATTAGAGATTCTAATTCGAACTACCGGTACACCTTGTTCCACAAGGAGCAGAGTAGGTAGTTTGAATTAGGATCTCTAATTCGAACTACCGGTACACCTTGTTCCACAAGGAGTAACGGTAGTTCGAATTAGAGATCCTAATTCGAACTACCTACTCTGTGCCATGTGTAGCCGCGGGCACGGAGTTTGGACTAAGGGGGATTTAAAAATGGCGGCACCTGGGAAGATGCAAATGAAGCCTGGGATATTTAAATCCCGGGCTTCATTTGCAACTTCGAATGCCTACATTAGCCTCCCTAGCTCGAACTAGGGGGCTAGTGTAGACATACCCTAAGAGATGTGGTGGTCTCTGGCCCTTGCTCTTTATTGACTGCCACAAGGCACCTTAAGAGTTTGATCCATTCTGAACTCCTCTTTGTGTCTATTATTGGATCTGATCTGACCTCTTTTGTGTCCCTTTTTACCTAGAAAGGGAGAAAATGCAAGGAGAAACATGAATAAAAAATAAGTCTTAACTCATGTAAAAATTTGGGGGTATGTCTACACTACCACCCTAGTTCGAGCTAGGGTGGTTAATGTAGTCATAAGAACTTGCAAATGAAGCCTGGGATTTGAATTTCCCGGGCTTCATTTGCACGTTGCTGGGCGCCGCCATTTTTAAATGTCCGCTAGTGCGGACTCCGTGCCCGCGGCTACACGCACCATGAACTAGATAGTTCGGACTAGGCTTCCTATTCCAAACTATCTGTATGCCTCGTTTAGGAAGAGGAAGTTGGATTTTCATTAAACCTGTGTGTACTCTCTGTTTTCCTATAACAGCATTTGACTGCAATTTTGAATTGCCTTGTGAACTGGAATATTCTCCTCCACTGAGGGACAAAGAAAACCCCAACAGGACCTGGCACAGAGTGAGTGCAGACGAGCTAAACCTTTTGGATGGACCAGAGAGAGATCACTCAGAGGATTCACCAAGAGGTAGGATGAGCAAGTGTATTTATTTGCCTTAAAATGATAGTGGTGAGCTTGTAGATACCACAGCCTATAAAATGCTTGAGGTAATTGTGTTCCTTCCTCTGTGGAAAGCAACAAGTCAACAGAAGGGAATTGTTCTGTCTGTAGGAAGCAAAATAAGACCATCAGCTTTGGCTTTGTAAAAATCTGAACCAGACTGGACTCTGTACATTGCACTGGGAGTTGATTAATAATACTTTATGCATCTATTGCATCTTTCCTCTGAGGTTATCGGGTGGAGTGGGGGAGAGAGGATGAATTCTTCACATCATCCTACATCCACTGAGTCACATGGGATTTGTGAAGTGCTCAAATCATTCTAAGATTCAGTGGAAGAGCAGAGACTAAAATCAATTTGTTTTCCTTTATTTTCCATTGCTAAACACTAGGCTCAACTGTCTAACTTGCAAGCCAGCACATATCATTTTCTTGTGTCCAAGATTTAAGACTTTTTCCCCTCTAAGCTAGAGAGAGAGAATAAATACTAAACATTTGATATCAATAAAGCAGTGAACAGGTTTAATCTCTCTAGTCCAGCACTCTCTGGTCTGGTAACATCCAGAGTCCAGCATGATTTCAGTTGGCTGGATCATCAGGGGTGTGGCCAAACTTCCACATCCCATAAAGACTGTTTACAGCCACCAGTCCTGGCTCTCAGTGTTCTGTGCTGTTATTTAGCTCTATTTTAAATGTCCTATAAGAGCCCAGCAAGCAGTGGAAGTCTTGGTAATGCTGCTAGACAATACTGACCACCTGTGGCTTGGCAAATTCTCTGGTTCGGCACAGGTCAGGTCCTGAGAGTGCTGGAGCAGAGAGATTCAACCTGGTATATTCCCATAAAGAGATCTCGAAGTAGGAAAAGTAAGAAGTGTAAAAATATTATTTTCTCTCTCTTTTGTGTCAAAAATGGTTTCTTTTACCTTCTTGAGTATTTTTTTAATTCTGCTTTTGATCAAGCCTGATAACAGCAACATATTTGATTCAGATTATACATGATAAAAGGAAAAAGAATCAGAAAGATGTACATTCTAAAAGAACAGAGGAAAATCCCTATCCTCTTCTGCCTGTTGTTTGGTACCTGCTTGAAAACTGCCCTTGCTGAAATTCAAGGTGACATTTAAGTGGCTGGAACCATAAATGGAGAGGAAAGTAGGGACAAATCTAAACAAATGTTGGGGAAAGTTTCTTTAGCAACCTCCCTCTGTACTAGTCTCAGAAAAACACCTTTATTTCTTCTGTTTTCACATATATATCCATGTACTGTGCTTTCCAATGTGCTTCCCAAAAAATATTCTTTATGCACCATCTTTTAGTGCATGCTCCTTCAACCCTACTCTTGTTGAGTTCTCATATTGATTTAAGAGATTTATCATGAATGGGTAGAAAGACTGGGATGATGAACATATTGTGAGGATCAGGGCCCTATTGTGTCTAGACACTATACAACACAAGAGTGATGAAGCTTATATTCATTGCATTTTGTCTTAAGTTGGATTGTAACAAACAACAGGAAGGAAGGGGTGAGAAGAGAAGGAGGAAAAGCATTCATGAGAGCAGTTTAAGTAGGTTAGTTAATTATACTGCACAAAATAAAGTCCTTACTTCAAAAAGAGAGATACTGAAGACTGGATGCATTGGGTAAACCAGAAATTGAATGCTTTAGATGAAAGTGTTAAATATTTAAGTTGCCTTATTTCACTTCTTATGGAAATTCTGGCAGAATGGGATTTTAAGAAGGATTAGAACAAGAAGGGCGACTGTTTGGTGAGCTGCTTAGAGAGAAGGTTCCCCCACCAAAGAGCAGTGGATGGAGGGAAGGCATGAAGACAGAAATGGAAGGTGTGATGAAGCTGGAATAGTGGTGGAAGAGAGAGAATGAAGGACTTCAGTAGGATAAGTCCAAGATATAAAGAGAGCCTTGAAGGTATGCAAAAGAATTTAATTCAATGGGTGAAATCCTGGCATTTATGGATATGTTTACTTGGCAGTTAAAAACTCATAGCTGACTTGTGCCAGCTGACTTGGACAAAAGGTCTCCTTAATTGCAGTGTAGACATTTAGGCTTGGGCTGTAACCTGGGTTCTTGAGCCCTGTGAGGTGGGAGGGTCCCAGAACTGAGGCTGTAGTGGAGCAAATCTGCCATATTTAAGCAGCCTCTTGGCCCAAGCCCCAGGAGCCCAAGTCAGCTGGTACAGGCCAGCCATAGGTGTCTGTCTACCTGTAATGTAGCCATACCCATAGAAGTCTATGGGAGTTTTACCCTTGGATGAAATCCTGGGCCCAGTGTCATCAATTTCATCAATTTGTGAATGTGTTCTGGACCCAGCTTCTTTCATCATTGATCTTTGAATGATTTGTTTTTGTGCTAATGTAAATGTTTCAGTGTAAAGTCCACCCCATTCTGGAGGGGGAATGTAATAATTTTGGCTGACTTGGGGAGGAGATTAGAGTAGGAGCCTCCCCCTTGATAGAGTTAGAATTGAATTTGCTTGGGGGGGGGAGAAATAGGCAAATAGGCGAAATGAAGGTAGTTGATAATTCATTTTGTAGTGACTCAATCCCTTCCAGAACCTCCTCAAAAGCCTCCCTGCTCCCAAATGACTAATTTCTGAATATGAAAATTCTATACTAGCAGCTTTCTATTTTACATCACTTTAATTACAGCTGTTTGTGTGGTCTGTTTCAGTTTGAAATAACTAGGCACAGTAATTCCAACTCCCCACTGTTTGTTTCCTGCACAATGTACTTGCAATTATCTGATTCCCATTTCATCTGCATTCATGGGCTGTAATGAACAAAAGTAAATAAGCAGATAGCATAACCAGTTTTTGAGTCATTTTAACTCATCCTTGTCACTTGACTATCAAGTCATGTCGAGTGAATTTCCTATTGATCAAGACAAATACCCCAAACTTGCTTCTATTATCCTGCCTTTATGTATAAACATTTGTAGAAATTCACTGATATGTTTGATGCTGATGCGCAATATTCCCAGCTGTGACTTAGGGTATGTCTACACTGCAAGCATCTTTAGGAATAAGCTTTTCTAGAAGAGATCTTCCAGAAAAGCTTATTTCGAAATAGAGCATCTATATACAAAAAGCGCAACGAAATAATGATGTATTATTTCAACAAACAGCATCCACACTGATTGGACACGAGCTCACATTTAAGGTCATCCGGATCTAGTTCAGGCAAGGCATTAGGTCAGCAGTTGCTTCTGGATGCTGCTGCCTAAGGCTAACTGAGATGCATGCTTAAAGCCGTTCCTCCGCTTTCTTCTGCTTGCTTGCCTACCTCTTTGAGGGACAGCAAAGCATTTGCACTGCATGCTCTGGTTGCCCTGCTTCAGGACACCACAGCACACTCCTTGCCACGGTGCTGGAGCTGCCTCTGGGCATGTAATGGCCCCACACTGCCATGCTACAGTTTCTGCAGCAGTTTGTTCAGGATGCCTTCATGGTCCTGCATGAGCTTGACTCCAAGCTCATCTTTGAGAACCTCTGCCTGTGTGCGGGAGCAAGGCCCTTGCAACTGCACCCCACAGTGGAGTGATGCTTTGGAGGCTGGACACCAGTTCCAACTGGTGGGACCAACTAGTGATGAAACGACCGGCAGTGGCACCACAACTTCCATATGAGAAAGGAGACATTCATGGAGCTGTGTGCCTGACTAGCCCCTACCCTCCTATGATGGGACATCCAGATGTGACCTGCCATACCCCAGGAGAAGCTGGTCACCATCACTGCCTGGAAGCTCACCATGTCCGACAGTTACCGGTCTGTGGACAACCAGTTCGGCATGGGAAAGTCCACCATTAGGGCCCTCCTCATGGAGGTAAGGCACTCTTGGGCTGCAGTCCCTGGAGCGGGTGCGAGGGAGTACTAGAAAGGGAGACACTAGGGAAAAAGGGGTTGGGAGTGCAGGGGGTAACCTGGGAGGTTGAAGCCCCATCCCCGGGGGGTTCTGCAGTCCCGCCCTCACACAGCCCTGTGGGGAGGGGGCACTTAATAGGGGCTGGCTGCTGGGATGTTTGTAGGGGGGAGGAGGCGTGAGGGCCTCCCAAGGGCTCAGGCACCCCTTTGATTCTCTTTCATGTCATTGTCTCCTTCTGCAGGTGGTGAGGGTCATTAACGCTGTCCTGTTGTGCAGGATCATCTGCCTGGGAGACCTGGACCCTATCGTAGCCAAATTTGCCACCTGGGCTTCCCCAACTGCTGGGGAGGCTATAGATGGAACCCACATCCCCATCTGTGCCCCCAATCACTGTGCTGCAAAGTACATAAACCACAAGGGATACTTTTCTGTGGTCCTGCAGGCCCTGGTTGACCACCATGGACAGTTCACAGAGATTGTCAGCTGGTTGGGGAAGGCGCATTACACCTGCATCTTCTGCAACTCCAGACTCTACCAGAAACTGGAGGCTGGCACATTCTTCCCCCGATGCAACATCATGTTTGGGGATGTTGAGTTACCATTTTGCATTGTGGGGGACATATCTTACCCCCTAATGCCATGGCTGATGGAGCACTACACCGGCTACCTAGACCCAAGCAGGGACCTCTTCCATTGCTGCCTGGGCAGGCTCTGCATCCAGACCGAATGCGCCTTCAGGTGCTTGAAGGCGCATGGTTCAGGTGCCTACTGACCTGCCTGAATGTGGGGGAGCACAACATCCTGCAGGTGATCTCCCTGTGTTGTGTTCTCCACAGCATCATGTAGAGGTAGGGGGTGGCCTTCCTTCCAGGGTGGGAGGAAGAGGCCAGCCAGAAGGGACAGGCCTTCAAGCCTCCAGGCACAGCTGCCATCCCACAGGCCCATCAGGTGGGGGTGTGCATCCAGAAGGCTCTGAAGGACCCCTGTAACTCTCCCCAGGGCCTTCCCTGTGCCTTGCCCCTCTCTTGCCCCCTACAATCTCCCTTTCCTGCAGACCCAATAAAAACTGTTTGGTTTTCAAAGAAATA